GCACAGAAGGCTTCAGGGGAACATCTGCATAGAAACCATAACAATTAGTATGAGTGCCAATATCTTTTTGAGTTTCTGATTTCATTTTTTGAACGGTACTGAAGTGTAATAGTTCAAAAGTCTCAAGTTTATAGACAAGGCCTGGTTGAAAGGGCCAGGTTACTGGGGGTATAACTTGAAAAGTTGTATCCTCTTCCCTGGATTCTCCTTTCTCTCTCTGCTTCTTGACTTCCATGCAGTAAATAACATTCCTCTACCATGCCATTTCATCATCCCGTTTCTGTGTTAGAGCCAGACAACTCTGGACTGTTCTCTAGCCCAGTTCTCTAAAGCTTCCCAAACTCCTCCCATAAACCACTTAGAAAGGCTTCTAAATCACATGGTCAGTATAGTCACTACAACCACACCACTCCTAGTACCTATTTCCTGTATTAGTCACTTTCCTATCACTGGAACAAGGTACTCTTCACCTACAACTTAAAGGATTCAGTTGGCTGGTGCCAAAGCAGATATGGCATGGCTAAGGGGCATGGTCCATTTGGTCTGTGGAATTATTAAAGTTCTCTATTTCCTTATTAGTCTTCTGGCAGAATATTTTGTCCTTCACTGAAAGTAATTTAAGTCATCTATTACTACTGTATTGCTATTTCTCTGTTCAGTTTTTTGTATTGTATATAGAGCTGCTTTTATATTAAGTACATAAATACAGCTCATATCATTTCACTTGATTCTTTAATAATTATAAAATCTTCTATGTTTAGTGGGATACCTTTTGACAGTCCACTATGTTCTCATATGAGCATAGTAATCTCTAGTTAAAATTTATACACAGTGCCTTTCTTTATTCATTAAATTTTAGTCTACATTTGCCCTTAAATTTGGAATCATTTTCTTTATAAAACTGTCCTTTTCTAAAATATCTATTGAGCATGCCATACATGTTTTTCTTTCTTTGGCTCTTTTTGTTGTTATTGTTGCTGGTATTGCTGAGGATTGAACAAGTGCTAGACATGTGTTGTATCCCTGATCTATATCCCTAGGCCCTACAATTCATTGGTTTGGGTACAGGATTTTATTTACACTTCAAGCAATTATTCATAGGAAACAATTTTTTATAGACATTTTGATTTTTTCAGTTAGTATTGTAATTTTCTTTTGATTTTTGTGGTACTGGAGATTGAGCCCAGTGTCTTGCCCTTGCTAAACAAGTGCTGTGCTGAAGAGCTACATCCCCATCCCCTGTTCTTGTAATTCTTTTGTTTTAGTTACTTTCTCATTGCTGGAACAAAATACCCAACACTCACAATTTAAAGAAGAAGAGATTTATTTTAGCTCATAGTTTGCAGAGGTTTCAGACAGTAGTCAGCTGGCTCCAAACCAGGGTGGGTTGAAAAATTTGCATGGCAGAGGAGAAACAATTCATAGCATGACAGGAAGAAGAGCAAAGTTCAAGGGAAGATAAGGGACATATATCTCTTCCAAGCCACACCCACAGTGACTCACCTCTTCCTACCAGGCTACCCCAACCTCACACCCAGCTGTAAACTCATCAGGGAACTAATCTAGTATCATACATCCATGATCCAGTCACCTCCCAGAAGCCCCACCTATGAGCACGTGAGCCTCTGGGGAACATCTAGATACAAGCCATAACATCTGCTGTTTGACATTGCTCCTTTGCTTTCTTTCCTTCCTTTTTATTTTTCTTTTTTGGTTTCTTGTATTGCTATACTTTGAGTTCTTTCTCTTTTTCTTTTTTATCATATATACTTATAAGTACATATCTATGTGACGATTGATCTATCTATTTATTATATTATGACTTACATAAGACATCACAGAGCGGTAACAATGTATTTTAAGCTATCAAAGTAAATTAAGTTGTAAATAGATATTATCCATATTAACTTCTCCTTTCTCCTGCAATTTACCTTAATGTTTTCATGATTCCTATCCCATTCCCTCTGGCCTGTCTGGTTTCTGCTGAAAATTCCTTTAGTAGTCCTATGATTGTTCACTGTACATATTAATTTGTTCATTTTTTGATGCTCTCAAAATTCTACCTTGTTTTTAACCCTTTACAATTTATTTATAGTGAGTCTAAATGTGGATTTCCTTACTTTTATCTTAAATAATGTTCTTTGAGTTTCTTGAATCTTTATGTCAATTTCTTTCACCATAAAGGGTAACTTCAGCCATTGTGTCTATGAATAAACTTTCTAGTCTTTAATCTCTTCCCTGTCTGGTTTCAGAATCTATGTATATTAATCTACTAATAGTGTTTCACGAATCCTTTAGACCTTTGTCATTTTAATTCTTTTTGAACCTCTAACTGAATTATTTTTAAAGAGCTTCCTTCAAATTCACTGACCTTTTATTCTGTTTGATTGAATCTGCTGATGAATCCCTCTTGTGAATTTTCTCCTTAATTTATTATATTCTGTAGCTCCATTACTTCTATCTCATACTACTTTTATCTTTTGAATTTATATTCTTTCAGTGTCTCAGTTTGTTCATGCACTATTTCCTTGACCTTTCTAGCACAATTTTACATTTTGTCACACAAATAATATAAACTCATTTCACTGGGCTTGATTTCTAGGATTTTACTGTGTTCTGTTTGGAACATCTTGCCTGAGTATTTTACTTACCTCTCTTGTGTTGGTTCCTGTGTGCCAGACAATACACATAGCTCTCAGTCTCCACAGATTGGCAGCAATCAGGGAAATTCCCTCACCAGTCACCTCAGAGATTTGGGGAGCCCCTATGAATTCTTTCTGGTAAGTAGCTGCTTTTTCTTTATCCCCCCACTCACTCTGTGCTTGGCAGAGTTAAAGATCAACAACCTCTTCCACTCCAGCTGCTTCCTCCATTGTCCCCCAGTGGCTGGAAAGCACCAGAACAATGAGAGCTTCAGAACTGCTGAGACAGATAACTTTGTGGACAGCTCTCTCAAGGACGTTTGTGCCAGATGTGCAGAGGAACCCTCTCTCCCTTGGAAGAAGTTTGGAACTATAGATCTCTTCGTGATAATATGTCATGGCTTTGGTGCAGCATCTCCAGCAGCTAAAGGTCCTAAAACAAGGCCCTACTTGTTTCATGAGTCTGGTTTTGCAATATCCCAGGAAGAGAGAATATTCCAATTATTTTCCAATATCTAACCAAGAATTTTTGCTTGCTTTTTGAGGGGTTTGTAAAGCATGAATTATATAGTGAGTTTTTGATACAAGAAGGAGCTGAGTCTTCCTACTCTGCCTTCCTTCTTACCACAATTATTTCTTTGGTCATTATTTCTTTGAATACTTTTTCAATGCTGTGTTTTTCTCTTTTCTTTCTAGGATTTTTAAATTCATTTTGGATGTTCAGCATTATTATGTTTTTAAGTTCTCATAATTTTATGTGTTTTGTAGCTTCTGTTTCTTTGCTTCAATTGTTATTAATTCATTTGCTTTAGGAGATGTGTGATTGTTCACTGATACACTTTTTTTGATGGCTGCCCTAAAACCTTTTCCTCATAGATCCAAGATACTACTCATCTCAATAGAGGCATTTTGTGATTTTTCATACTTACTGTGATAAGCATAACTTACGAGGTATGAATGATTTTCTAACTTCTATGTAATAACTGTATGTATGTATAACTATGTAATAAACGGGAAGAACTTGTTCCTGTTTATATTTCCTCTAGAAGGCAGTATTCCAGTTTAAATTTAAATTTAGTGTGCTCTGCTCTTTGAGTGACACATTATCTTCTCAGCATTAGCAATATTTGAGCTCCATTCTTCTGGCTTTGCAGTAGCTCTTTCTCTCTTGCTATTTTTTTCTGCCTATTAGCCTACAAAGTTCTTCTGGTATTGTTTGGTACAGGTAGGTACCGAAAGATTCATGGGATGGAAAGCATTTTCACTGGCTGCTTTTTAGTCCCTGATTTGACTGTGCTTTACTTAGGCTACTATGTGGGCTTTGGAGAATATCTTGGCTTCCTGGCTCAAAGAATATCTCATGATTATCTGCCAGCAGAGTCAAGAAAAAAGCTTTCCATTCTGGACTGCTGGCTCCCCTGGGATGAGGGCTGGGGCCTTGTTTTCCTTCTAGCACTCTGCCAAGGGCTCCTAGCTACAGGTCCTGTTAACACCAATATAGTTGGTGGCAGTCATTGCTCTTACTTAGCAAGAAGCAGGGTATATATCTCCCCTGTGTACTGAGATGGGTTTGATGATGATTTTAGATGAGACACACTGCTGTCAGTGTGTGTTGGGCATACAATAGGCTGGCCCACCTAGGCTCTGCTCACTGCCACTGAGTGTAAATGTGGACCTCTTTGCCTTTGGGGGGAAGGGGGCCAGCGGAGCTGGGCCTGTTGAGAAAGAGTGAATGGTTAATGATGGAGATGCTTATAGACAAACACATAGGAGAGAATTCCCTGAGACTAGAATTTTCAAAGTTTAGGTTGAACAAAGAAATATAATTGATTTCAGAGGTCACTAGATTTAAAGGGAAAGACAGGCAAGCTGCAAGAGGAGAGCTCCAGAAAATGAAATACTGTAAAGTCATTGGGGAAGAAAATGTAAACTAGGAATGATCAGCTATCTCTAGAGTGAGATCTTAAAGAGAAATTAAGGAGAGGAAATATCAAGTAAGATTCTTTGGAGTAACTCAGAAAAAAAGTTCTTTTGCAGAGAAAATTTTTACAGTTGCAGCCAAAATAATGTAGTAAATTATATAGTATTTGCAGTTAAACACAATGTTGAAGCCATCTGACTGTCAAAGAAAGATGCAGTTAAAAGAGATGCTTTTCAAAGATTTAAAATTATAGCAAGAATGACTTGAGGGAATATGGGAATCGTGACTATCAATAGACCTAAAAGGGTGAAGAGGTAAGTGTTGCAACAGAGAAAATAGAATGGGATATCTCATGAATAATATCTAGGAATCATGGTGAAATCAAGGACTCCATTTGTGAAACATTTATGAGTACATCTTCCTATATTTCTTTTTAGAATCATTGTTTTTATGAAGGATATGCAGCAGAAGTTCCAAAATCAATTGTGGTACTAAGTGCCTGTTCTGGACTCAGGTAATTGCATGTTCCAGAGCTCCCACATTTAAAGCTCTTGAATGACAATTTAGTTTTCGGGAACTTTTGAAAGGTAGCATGAAGACAAAGAAATATGGACTTTAGATGCATTTCTTCTCATACACTTTCTTTACTTTTTTCTCTCCATTGTATCACTTTCCCTGTTCTTTCTTCTATGCTAGGCATGAAATTATAAAATTCACGCAGCAAAAACTCCCCACTAATATGAAGAGAGCTACAGTAGGAGCCCCAACTACTCCTAAATGCTCTAATAGAAAGAAAAAGATATGAGATGTATGCATTTCTGTTTTTCACAAGGCTATCCTGCCCTGATGCCAACACTAGTAACACACCCTGTAAGAAAAGAAAATAATAATAGACAACATCCTCGATGAACATATATGCAGAAATCCTGAATAGTGTATTAACAAATGTAATTCACAAATACATCAAAAGAATCATACATTGGGTCAGAGTGGGATTTATCTCTTGGAAGCAAGGATGGCTCAACATAAGTAAAGCAACAAATATAATACACAACATGATTTAGAATGAGGGATAAAAATCTTAGGATCATTCCAAGCACAAATACATCTGACAAAATTCAACATCCTTTTGTGACAAAAATTAGAAGTAGGGGCTGGGGATTTAGCTCAGTGGTTCCGCTGCCTACCTTGCAATCACAAGGACCCACGTTCGATCCCTGGTACCAAAAAAAATAAATAGAAGTATATTTCCCAATAGTTAAAGTCCATATATGACAATTCCACAGCTCACATTATTCTAAACCATGAAAAGTAGAAATCCTTTCCTCTAAGATTAGGAATAAGGCAGGATGCCTACTATCACCTCTTCTATTCAACACAGTAGTAGAAATCCTAGCTGTAGCAATTAAACAAGAGAAAAAAAGAAATAACATCCAAATTGTAAAATAAATTGCATTATTCACAGATGACTTTATATATGTTAAATGCTTAAGATTTTTACCAAAAATTGTAGAACTAAATAAATGAATTTGGCAAAGTTGCAGAACAAAATTCAACATATAAAATCAGTGCCATGTCTATACCCTTACAAAAATTATCTGAAAAGAGATAAAGCAAGCACTTTGATTTGCATTAACTACTACAAAATAAATTTTTAGGAATAAATTTAACCAAGGAAGTGAAAGACCTGACCTATAAAATGTTGAAGAAAAACTTGAAAAAGATACTACTGTTGGAAAGATATTCTGTGTTGATGAATTAGAAGAATTAACACTTAAAATTTTTCATATTACACAGAACAATCTATAGATTCAGTGTAACTCCTATCAAAACCTCAATGTCTTTATCCATAGAAACAGAAAAGAAAAACTTCTAAAATTGATGTGGAGCAATTAATGCCGAGACCAAAAGCTGAAGGTATCACACTACCTGACTGTAAATGTATTACTAAGGTACAGATATCACATCAGCACAGTATTGGCCACAAAACCTACTTGCAGACTAAATGAACAGAATAGAGACCCCAGAAGTATATGCATGCTTGTGAAATCCATTGATTTTTGCCAAAGTTGCCAAGAGCACAGAATAAGAGGACATGCTGTTCCATATGTAATGTTGGTATAACTGCATACCCACTTGCAGAAAAATTAAATCAAACTTGTATCTCACAATAAATACAAAAACCATCTCAAAATGTATTGAAGATTTAAATGTAAGAATGGACACCATATAATTACTAGAAGTTAACATGAGGTAAAGTTTTATGACATTGCTTTGGGCATTGATTTCTCTTTATTTGACCCTAGAATTATAGGTAACAAAAGCAAAAGTAACCAAATAGATGAAGTCAAACTGATAAGCCTCTGCAGAGCAATGGACACACTCACAGAGTAGGAGGATCTCTGATAAGGGATTTATATCCCTTAGAGAATTCACACAAATCCCCTGTAGAGAATTCACACAAATCAATAGTATGTAAACAAATAGTTTTCTTAATAAACAACTTTATGGATAACAAGTATATAAAATATTCACAACATCCCTAATCTTCAGAGTATGCAAATAAAAAACACAATCAGATATCACCTAAGACCTATTCAACTGGCTATTTTCAAAAAAGACAACATTTCAGTGTTGAAGAGGTTGTGGAGAAAAGGGAACCCTTGCACAATGTTCATGAAACTGTGAATAAGTACAGCCATTAGGGGACACAGTATATTCCTCCGAGAAAGCTAAACGTGAAGTTACCATATGATCTAGTAATTCCTCTTCCTCTCTGATATGTATCAAAATGTATGGAAGAGAATTCTACACTCCCAAATTCATTGCAGCATTGTCCACAATTAGGAAGACATGGAGTCAATCTGAGTGCCTATCAGTGAGTGGGTGAAAAAAGGAAATGTGCTACAAAAACAATATGAAATAGCATTTAGATATAAAAGAAGGAAATCCTGTCAAACGCCATAACATGGATGAACATGGGAAACATTTTATTCAAAGCTACAGAAAGAAGATACAATATGATGCTGTCTTAATTTGCATTTCTCTAAAACTAAAACTATTATTCTTATAGTGGTGAAGAGTAAGATGATGGTAATCAGGTCTTGTAGAGGAGTAAAGAGATGATGGTCAAAGGATACAAAAATTCAGTTGTGTCAGAGGAATAAGTTCAAGAGATTCATTGTATTACTTGTGCCTATTGTTAATTTTACTTTTGAAAATCGGGGCCACAGTAGATTTTAAATGTTCTCTCCCAAAAAAAGATCATTATGTGAGATAATAGGTATGGGTAATTATCTCCATCTGGCTATTTAACACCTATTTTAAAACAACACTTATACCTGATAAAAAACATTTATTTTTGATTAAAAATAAATGATAAAAACATTTCAAAATTAGTTTATACTCCTTAGGGCACTAGAACCATAGCTTTCCACAGTAAAATACCTCCTATAAAATTTTTTAAACATTATTTAGGAAAATATATATTTACTCTGTATTTATATATTTTTGCTCAATCAGAATATTAAAACTATATTCTTGATCATTAAAAAATTAAATTTAAGTATGATGGGGTGCTTAGGTAATAGACTGCAAAGATTATTATCAAATAGATGTAGCATATTTTTATTTAACATTAATTTATACTTCTCATTAGAAAAATATATACCCATTACCTTTTTATTTATCTTGTATTTGAACATTTAGAGGATTGTTACAGTTTGAGAATGTCACCTATGTGATGGAGCCATTGGAATACATACCCACATACGTTCATATACTTTATCAGATAAGGAATAATAACATAGATCACTCCTCCTTACCAGAAAGCTCGCCTGTGACTCCACCTGTGGATCAGTCCTACAGAATTCATGTGAAACAGCAAGTGAGTAACCTTTTCTGTGAGAGCCTCATTTTCGTTCCTTTTGAGAAATCTATTCACATTTCAAATTTGGGATTTGTCTCATTGTGGAAACAAACTTTGAACATGTGTTGATTAAATAAAGTAGAGTATCTTTAAAAACATTCTTATTTATATAATATTTAGAACTATATAATCATATAAATTAAAAATCATTATAGCCAGGAAAATAATTCTCTAATTATAAGAATTTTTATGCACCTAAAGATTATGGCAGTTTTACTGAATATGCATGCTAATATCACAAAAGTTTTCACATTTGCTGGTTATTACTTGACAAGCATTTCCTTTTGTAAAATATATTCTTTGTGAAAAATTAGTGTTTTGGTAGCAAATTTACAGGTAGAAAAAATGGAGGAAAATTCACTAGAAATTTGTCCATATATTATTATCTAGGGAAAGTGATATTTTGGAGTATTCTTCCTAATTATTATTTTTATTTATTAGTACATGTTTGCAATACATAATGACTACTTTCTTTGTGTCCATATGGTACATGTACATGGCACATCTTTAATTTTTTATGTCCCTTTCTCCTTTTCCTCCCCCCCCCCACATCTCTTAGTCTCCTTCCCATTTGCAGATCTATACCCCTGTTTCCTTTCGTTTATCTTTCATTTTGCTCTTTAATTTATTTATATGCTTGGTTTAGAGAAACTGTATGGTATTTAAGCTTGTGTGTCTAATTTATTTTACTTAATGTGAGGATCTCAAGGTGCATCCATTTTCCCACAGGTGACTCAAATCTATCCTTGATGGCCCAGTAGTACTCCATTGTGTGTGTAAATGCCACTTTTTCTTTTTAAAATTAATTACATTAGTACATTTTCGGTATACAACATAATGACATTCATTATTGAAGATTTGTACCTTTACATAATATATCTTGATTCCTATTTTTCCCCATTCCTGGACCCTTCCTTCAACCACTCCACCCCTCTCTATTTACAAAGACTTTGTTTCCATTTTTTTCCTTTTCTCATATTAATATCATACCCTTCTTTCCTTTTGTCTTTCCCTCCCATTTCCCTTTCCCCTTTGCATTTTTCTATTTCACATTATCTATTATATATTTTGATCCTTATTTACACTTTCAGTGTCTCACACTAGAGAAACTATTCAGTATTTACACATATGTGTTCTATGTATTTCACTTAAGAGTATGGCCTCAATGTGCAGTCATTTGACTATAAATGCTTCTAGTTTCTCATTCTTTATGACTGAGTAGTACTCCATTTTATCAAAAAAACACATCTTATATATTCAGTCTCCAGTTGATGATGGGAAATTGGGCTGTTTCCAAGTTCTACCTATTACAAACTGTGCCACTATGAACATGAGTGCACATATACCACTGTGGTATGAGTCTTTTAATTCTTTTAAGAAGATACCCAGCAGTGGAATAGCTGGTCAAATAGGACCTCTCATCCTAGTTCTTTGAGGTATCTCCATACTGGTTTCCACAGTGGTTGGACCAGTCTACACTCCCATCAACATTAGAGAGAGGTTCTTTTTCCTCACAGCCCAGCCAGCATTTGTTATTGGTTAATTTAATGATAGCAGTCATTCTTTCTGGGGTGAGGTGGAATCTCAGCATTGTTTTCATTTGCATCTCTCAAATGACCAGTGATGTTGAACACTTTTTCACATGTCTATTTGCTATTTCTACTTCATCTGAGAAATGTCTCTGCATTTCACATGCCCATTTTGGGATTAGATCTTTAAATCTGGGAGGTCTGATTTTTTGAAGTTCTTTATATATTCTAGTTAGTGGACCTTTGTCTGAGGAACAGCTGGTGAAAATTTTCTCCCACTTTGTGGGTTACCTTTTCATGCTGTTGGTGGTTTCTCTTGCTGTGCAGAAGCTTTTTAATAAGAAGAGATGTCACTTGTTGATTGTGCTAGTTCACAAGCAACTGAGGTTTTATTCATCAAATCTTTTCCTACACAAATATCTCCAAGAATTCTACCTAACCTTTTTTCGAGCCAGTTTAGTGTTTCTTTTTAATATTTACATCTTTAATCCATTTTGATTTTAGTTTAGTGCATGGTGAGAGATATAGGTCTAGTGTTAATCTTTGGCAAGTTGAAACCAAATTTTTCCAGCACCATTTATTAAAGAGGCTATCATTCCTCCAGTGAGAGTGTTTCACACGTTTGTCAAAGACAAAGTCTCTAAGTTTGTCTAGAGTTGTTTCTGTGTCTTCTAATCTGTTCCAAATGATCCTCAGATCTGCTTCTTTGCCATTACCATACTATTTTTATCACAGTAGCTTTGTAGTATAGTTTCAAGTTGGGGATTGTGATACCCCCTGCCTTGTCTTTGATGCCTAGAATTGCTTTTGCTGTTCTAGGTCACTTTATTGTTCCAAATGAATTTTTGGATTGTTTTCTCAAGTTCTGTGAGGTATGCTGCTGGAATTTCATTTAATTTATATAGCAGTTTTGGAAGTATGGCCATTTTCACTATGTTGGTTCTTCCTACCCACAAGCAAGGGATGTCTTTCCATTTTCTGGTATCCTCCTCGATCTCTGTTTTCAGAGTGCTATAGTTTTCAGAGTAGAGTTCTTTGACTTATTTCACTAGGTTGATTCCTAGGTATTTCATTAATGGGGATGCTGTTATGAAGGGAATTCTGTCTCCAGTTCCTTTTTCAGTGAGTCTGTTGTTTGTGTACAGGAGAGCTATTGATTTTTTTTCTTTTTTTTTTTTTTTTTTTGGTACTGGTGATCAAAATCAGGACCTTGCACTTGCGAGGCAGGTGGTGGCACAACTGAGCTAAATCCCCAGCCCAGCTATTGATTTTTGTGTATTGACCTTGTATTCAGCTACTCCACTGAATTTGGTTACTAAGACTAGAAGACATTTGGAGGAGTTCTTGGGGTCTTGTATATAGAGTATCATGTCATTTGCAAATACTGACAATTTGACTCCTTGGTTTCCTATCTTTACTCCTTTTATTTCTTTCTCTTGTCTAATTGCTGTGGCTAATGTTCCCAAGACTATATTGAACAGGAGTGGTGATAGTGGACATCCTTGTCTTGTTCCTGATTTTAATGTGAAGGATTTCAGTTTTTGACCATTTAGTATGATGTTGGATGTTGGTTTTTCATAGATGGCTTTTTTCAGGTTGAGATACAGACTGGCTATTCCAATGTTCTGAAGGGTTTTAGCATGAATGTGTTTTGGATTTTGTTGAATGCTTTTTCTGCATCTATTGAGATGATCATATGGTTTTTGTCCTTGGCTCTATTAATATACTGTATTAAATTTATTGATTTATGTATTGGAACCATCCCTACATCTTGGGGATGAATCCCACGTGGTCAGGGTGTATGATCTTCTTCATGATCTTCTGCACTCTGTTTCTTATTGAGGATTTTTGCATCTATGTTCATTAGTGAGATTGGCCTATAGTTCTCTTTTTTGCTTGGATCTTCCTCTGCTTTTGGGATCAAGGTGATGCTTACTTCCAGGAATAAATGTGGGAGTATTGCTTCCCTTTCAATTTCATTGAAGAGTTTAAACAGTGGTGGCAATAGTTCTTCTCTAAATGTGTTATAGAATTCAGTAGTGAAGCCATCAGGACCACAGCTTTTCTTCATTGATAAGTTTTTAATTACATTTTTAATTTCATTGATTGATATTGGGTTCTTTAGAATGTTTAGGTATTCTTTGTTCAGCTTTGGTAATTCATACATATCTAGAAATCTGTCCATTTCTTCAGTGTTTTCCATCTTATTGGGGTATAGGTTCTCAAAGTAGGTATTGATGATCCTCTGGATCTCTGCTGGATCTGCTGTAATTTCACCCTTTTCATTTCTAATTGCATGGATTTGGGCCTTTTCTTTCCTCTTTTTGATAAGTTTGGCTAAGATTTTGTCAATTTTTTTATTCTTTTGAAGAACCAACTCTTTGCTTTGTTGATTTTTTTTGGATTATTCTCTTAGTCTCCATTGCATTGATTTCTGCTCTGACCTTTTTAATTTCCTCCACTGTATGAGTTTTGGGTTTGTCCTGCTCTTCTTTTTCTAGATGCTTGAGTTTCAGCATCAGGTTGTTGAATTGAGCTCATTCTGTTTTCCTAATATGAGTATTCACTCCTCTGAATTTCCCTCTAAGAGCTGTTATTGTATCCCATAGATTCCAATATGTTGTATTGGCATAGTCTTTTAATTGTAAAAGTGTCTAATTTCTTTAATTTCTTGTGTGATCCATTAGTTATTCATAAATGTGTTGTTCAATTTCCATGTGTTTATGAAATTCTTGTGGTTTCTTTTGCCCTTGATCTCCACTTTCATCGGACTGTGGTCTGATAATATACAGGGAACAACTTCAATTCCTTTGCACTTACTTAAACATGTTTTATGAGCAAGTATGTGCTCTATTTTGGAGAACAACTCATGTGCAGCTGAAAAGAATGTGTATTCTGATTTATTGGGGTGGAACACTCTGGAAACATCTGTTAAGTTCATTTGTTCAACAGTTTCATTGAGTTCTAGTATTTTGTTGTTTATTTATTGTCTATTTAATCTATTTGTGACACTGGTGTATTGAGGTCTGCCACTATTATTATATTACTGCTTATTTTATTTTTCATGTCCATATTTGTTTTATATAGTATGGTGCACTGGTGTTTGATGCATACATATTTATGATTGTCATGTCTTCCTCTTGGATTGCTCCCTTTACAAGAATGTAGTGGACTTCTTTGTCTCTCTTCATCAGTGTTGGTTTGAAATCCAGTTGATCTGCAAAGAGGATAGCTATTCCTGCTTTTTTTCAGGTTCTTGTCACATGGAGTATTGTTGTCCACCCTTTAATTTTGTCTGTGAGTTTCTTTTCAAATTAAATGTGTTTGAACTTGCTTCTTGACTCATTCTGCCAGTCTGTTTCTTTTGATTGGTGAATTGAGACCATTAACATTCATGTTTATAATTGATATGTACTGACTTATCCTTGT